AATGTTCTAATCACCAGCCACCTTTTCCACCTTTCTTCTTCTTCTGTTGCTGTTTCTTTTTTGTTGCTGGAGCCCCTGCAGGTTTCTGGTGTCGTGGGGGTATGATATTACTTGTAGAGGCAGATACTGTTGCTGCACTGCCAGGTCTTGGGGAGGTGGGAGGGCTGCTCACAGTTTTACTGGCATCCCTGAAATCATCAGATCAGAAAAGTTTGGTCATTCATATATTCAACAAAGCAAAAGGATTGTACATGGCTTTTGCTTTCCTGCTCTAACAATCTCTCATACATATTCTATTTCGGTTAAGGTGAGTTCTCCAAACCCCTATCCATTTTTCCTTCGAATAAAATTTGTTTTAGCATTTTAAAAATATATTCGTATGTCATATCCCAATTTCTAGAAAACTTAAAAAATGAGAAAAAAAAATTAAATGACCTACAATCTTACTACATAGAAACAATTTACTAGCATTTTTAATACTTTTAGTAAGATTATACATTTATATGTTTATCTAGATATTTGGTTAAACAGTTGAATGATCTCAGTGTATATAATTTCCTCCTGAAGGTACTGGAAATCCTAAACTGAATTTACAACACAATCAAACCAGAAATACCATTTTCTTTCCTTTACATAAGAATATCGCGAACCATTTAGCAAAGATATGACTGTACTTTTCATACTTAAAATATATTAATAATTCTCACTAATTACTGAGTCAGTCTCATATTTTTTAAGTGACCACAACTGTACAGCAATGACTTACAATTCAGATGAAGCTCCTGCAGTTGCTCCCTGGGTCCCTTTTCCAATCTGATCCTTCTTTTTACCCTTCTTCCTTCCTCTGTAGTAAGAACGTTCTCGCATTGGTAGCCATCTTTCTGGATCTGGGGTAACTTTTGGGTCATAATTCTTAGGCAGTTTTCCTGTGTAACAATTGATGAAGAAATGAGAGTTATGTCATAAACAAAGAGTCCAAGCCTGGGAATAAAGTTAAAACTGAAATAAATTTATCTGAGGAAGTTTTATTTGTATAATCTATCAGGGAAAAAGTCTATATTCTAAACATGACACAATATTCCAAAGTCATAATGGAAAAGATCTCACAATATTCCAAAGTCATAATGGAAAAGATCTGCTGATGTTATCTATATAAAAATTTAAATTTTCATTTGGTAAAAGACAATAAACTTTTAAGAGAAATAATAAACCAAAAAAAATTTTCACGCTATGTAACAGCCTTGATTAACATCCTTAATATATGAAGTTTTTCAATAATTAATGGGTAAATCACTCAAAAAAAAGGAAAAAAAAAGGGGGGGGGTGCAGCTATAATTAGGGTAAGCCAGGAAAGATAAAACAGTCATCAACCACGTGAAGATGCCTGACTTCACTAATTACAAATCAGTAGGGTGACACCTGACCAAGGTAAATAAAACCTGATTCCGACTCACAGCGACCTCACAGGATGGAGTAACTGCCCCATAGGACTTCCAAGGAGTGGCTGGTGGATTCAAACTGCTGACCTTTTGGTTAGCAGCCTAATGTTTAACCACTTCACCACCAGGGCTCCAGTAAGGTAAATAAAGACACTAAGAAGTACATAAG